CCACTCGGACTCACCGAGTTCCTCCTTGGACTCGACGAGTCGTCCCCTAAACTTAGGGTTTCCTTTCCTTTCTTGGCCTTCCTGACTTTGGGTGTTACAACTCTCCCCCACTTAAACTAAACTTCATCCTCGAAGTTTGCTATAGCCCACCGCCTGCGATCTGCTTCCAATACCCTACTATTAATCCAACACCCACTGCCTACCTTCGTTGGCCTTTCGCCCGGTCCTCCTGAAGACCATTAATCCTTCCAGATAATAATCTCGGGTCAACCCTGACCCTGCACATTTTAGAAACACATTTTACCCAACCGTCAATCCTTCTGGTACTCTCCGAGTACTGCAACTGAACCCATAGGGGTTCACCCCCTCTTTCCTTGTGCGTTTTCTTGCCTTCCCAAAAGCGAAGCTCCATAACCAACTATTTCCTTTGCCACTGTGAAGGTCCTATCCTTTACCCAATCTGTTACTCCCGCCACCTCCAGTACGGGTCTATACCGCCAGTGTCTGTTGGACCCTTCTTACAACCATAACTTGGTGTTGAGCGCCCCTCAATCAACTAATTGAATTCCACCATAGACTGCCTACTAGCACTACTTCTTATGGAAAATTTCTGCTATTCCTTATCTACCTTCCGGAAGAACCGAGACCACCCTGGTCTCTATCAATCTATTATGTCATTCAGGCAGTACAATCCTGGGATCCTCGATCCCCCATCCGACACTACGGTCCCTACCAGGTCTCACCCGCCTCTATCCTTCTAGTCTCACTTGTCTAACCACTCTCGCATGGGCCTCGCCCACGGATCTCACCCAACCATACTACTGAGCAACCCTTCTCTTAAGTCTCACCTATACTGCTACTCTCATACGGGCCTCGCCCACGGGTCTCACCCAACTACATCCTGGAGTGCCCTCTCCGAAGGTCTCACCTCTCTAGGGAGATACAGACAACTCCCTACTATTCTCATCCACTACCCATTCCTGGTCCCTCTTTGATCACTAGGAGATAAGGGCCTCGCGCCAACTCCGCTAACGAAGCTACTATGGAATGCTACGCTTACCCACAATCTTACATCACCTTCCACCACTGATCACTGCTGGAGGAAGCTGCGGCTCTCCCGCCGCTCTTCCGTGCTTTAACCGGGATTCCCAACCACGTACTAACCATCGAACGTTGTACTACTTCTTTTCCCTCTCATAGATCGCGTACTCATTCTGGACTTGAGTGCTTTTACACTTGAACACTCGAAGGATTCTCCCCCACTTCGATCCTGCTTACACCTCGCTGCTCAATGCTCGAAAAGAAAACCCAATGCCTGCTACCAATCCATAATTATACTGTTGAGGAACCCCAAGCTTACCATAGCTAGAGATCTAACTAGTCCATTTCTAAAAACTATACAGATTCGAACTAGCGAGACATACCAAGTCCCTCCCAGGCATGCTACAGTTATTGCATCCTAAGCATCCTTTTCCAATAGAGCCCATCCCTTAACTACTATTCAATATCCAAGGTATGTAGATGGCATATAACTCGATTACAATCAAGCCGCACAAAGTAAAATAATCATACCGATAATGATGCAGAACCATAACAATATAATCATGCATAAATAAAAGAACTGAAAACGGAAGTCGCATACCTGCAATGTCCGACACTGCTCGCGTCTCCAAGGTAGTCATCTGAAAAGCCTTGCCTCCTACCCCAGGCGCCTACGCGCGACCCTGGCGGCCATTTGTGATCCTCAAAGTTGCAGGGGTAGGTGTCATCACCCGTCCTGCCGAAAACAAACAGGGGCACTGTGCCTTCTTGTGGCCCTGATGGTTGAAGTGAAAACATATCAAATCGGATCCCTGTGTAGTGGTAGCAGTACAATCCCTGCTGAAATGACCAACCCAACCACACTTGAAACATCCAAATTCAACACCGCTACCACTCCTACACGCGCCCCCGTACGCCCTGCCACACTTCCCGTACCGGCTACAATCCTGATAATCCCTCGGTCTCGAATCTGATCCCTTGGGCCTTTTGCCCGAACCCGAAACTGTCTGAATCTCATCCGACTTCCTCTTCCGGATCTGCTCCAAATCAATCTCTCTCCCTATCTAGCTCGCGCGATCATATCATCCAATGTTTTACAGCTGGACCTGCTCACAAACAGCCTGATGTCATCCCTCAACATCTCATGGTATCGGGCCTTCTTCATCTCCTCATCTGCGACATACTGCGGAACAAGGTCTCTCTCCCTGAACTTGGCGGTGATCTCTGCCACAGTCTCAGTGGTCTGCGTCAAATCCTGAAACTCCCGTGCCAACTGCTGCACCTCAATAATTGGCGAAAACTCCGCCCTGAATCTGACTGAAAAATGACCCCATGTCATCGCGTCCAACGCGGCATCATCACCCAAAGCATGTTCAATCTCTTCCCACTAATCCCTCGCTCTGTCCTTCAGAAGACAGGAAGCGAGTCTGACCTTGTCCCCCTCGGGGCACCGACTCGTACGGAATGCATTGGCAACATCAGCCAACCATCTGCTGCTAGCGATGGGTTCCCTAGCCCCATGATAATCTGGTGCCCCGCAAGCCCTGAACTCTCGAAATGTTAAAGTACGCGCTCCTATCAAAGCCATCATCTCGGTACGGAAGGCTCCCAGCCTCTCATCCAAAATCTTCAATATACCCTCCTTGACCGTGCCAAAGATCACAGGAGTCTGGTCTAGAATACTGCGCGTAACCTCCACTGATATTAACTCCCTCATTCGCTCCTCAATCTGCTCAGCTCCGGAACCCGAGCCTGATCCCTCTCTAGCGCCTGATCCGCCTACTGGTCTCTCTCACAACATCACCATGCTGAAAATATAACACAACCACTATCATAATACTTATCACTACTGCGAGACCGAACACACGCACTGCAAGGTTTCCGATCTTGTCTCGGCCTTTCCCGAATCGAGTACGGATCATCTGCTTTCAGTAGTGCGGGCCCATACTATCTTCCACATCTATCCGTACTTTCCTCAAGAACTGCTTCGACTCCACCAGGTCCCTTTTCTACTACTACCGCTCCCAGCACTACCTCATCCGAGGCTTGCCCTAGGGAAACCTCTGACTCAAACCAAACCAATCCTCAGCTGCTGAAGGACTCCTTGTGATGCCAATTAGCCATTACCAGGATACCTTCACATGTGACGAGGCTCAGATAATCCTTCGAGTAAAAGACTCGTCACTACAACGGTTGGACTCAAACAAGAGCTGCGCAATAGAGCCAAATCCAGCACTCTGAGATCATTCAACCCTGATCACATGTGACATGACGTATCCACCTAATGACTAACTCCCATCACTCGGAATCCCATAACGCACAAAACAAACAGCATTCAGACAAGGGGAAAAATCTAACCATAACATACTCAAGCAATCATAATATCATACCAAGAATCTGTACTAGCATGCAACACCAACTCATAATCTCAGGCATAACCTAAACAGGGTATCTTACTACTATCTAATCAGCACTATCATGCAATTCAAGGCACATATAACAGGCACATAAGGCATCCTTCCTAGACCCTTAGTCCTAATCTAGCATGTTGTTCTATTAACAAATATTCATAATATAAACTTGTATGGGTATTTTGGGGTACTTAGTTGAGCTCGGCTGATTGCATGCACCACACCCTTTTCTCTTATCAAAATTCTTTTCTTTCGGAATTCTTCTTGCTTTTCTAAAACTGTTTTCTTTCTCAAAACTTTCTTTTTACAATCTGTCTTTTCATTTTGAAAACCTTTATACCAATTCCTCAGTTTGAGTTCAGACACACTCGAGAGCATGTCCGAATCCCTCAAACCAAGGTTCTGATACCAACTTGTAACGACCCAAAATTCAAGACTAAAAATTTCTTTTAATAAAACATTACTTAAAGCAAAATCATCAATCCAAAACATAAACAGAGTATTAATTTCCAAAACACATGTTCATTATCAGAGTAAAGCATTCCCAGACTGTCTAATCTATGGTATGTGCCATGTGATCACCCCGAGCTCTTCCCTCCGCTACCGAAAGTACCTGAAACCAAAACTGAAAACCGTAAGTACGAATCTTAGTGAGTTCCCCACCCTACCACATACCATGCTTAAACACATACTGCACATACTGGGCCACGCCCGCTATTCTAGGGCTCGCCCCTACCTCGGGCCTCGCCCGCTACAACGGCTCCGCCGCTCCAGGCCTCGCCTGGCTTCGAGCCCCGCTCGGATACATATCTGTTTAACTTAGTCCTCGCCTATCACTGGGCCCCACCCGCTAACATATAATAGCACATAAGCATATAACAACACATAAGCTAACATATACTCACAAATCCTATCCTAAGGCCTCGCCTATCTTAGGCCCCGCCCTTGTCCTGCTACTGATGAGTCATGGAACCCCGTCCACACCCTTACTGATAGTAAGATACGGGCCCAACCCACACTCACTCTTTCCTAAATTGGGCCTTGCCCCTGTTCTGCTGCTAATGAGATGTGGAACACCATCCACACTCTGCTATTGGTGAGATACAAGACCTCGCCCACACTCACCTCCCTACCAGGAACATACATGTATCACACAGACAACAAAGATAAACTATCATATAAACCATTCCTTAGGCACCCGCCCGCTATCATTGGAACTCGTCCTGAATATCATACTAGCATACTGTGCCTAGGGCTAACCCCCGGGTCTTCCTACTCGTATCTACATAGGCCGACATTATGGCCTTAGACCCATTCACACAAAGGGAAACTCACCTGCTCTTGCTGAACTTGCTGATAACCCCTCTAGATGCTGCCTGGCAACTCTTTGAACTCCTGCTCCACTAGCTCCCCGGGCTGCCAATATCAATGCAACACTTAGTCTAACTATCCCCCAAAAGTCAACTAAGTCAACTCTGGTCAACATCAAAGTCCTGGTCAAAGTCAACCTTCCAGGTCAACCTTACTCGCCGAGTCTGCTTACTGACATCACCTGCAATCACCCAATTAAACTCTAATGTTGGTGTTATTCACCTTTCTGTAGATATAATAAAAACATTGAAATTTTAAATCATAATATGGCAAGGTGAAGGTGTTCAAATCACTTCTGAAATTTTAATTCGGACATGAATGTCAACATGGTTATATATTAGATAGAGATATTATATGCCCAAAAATGGAATAATTTTTATCTTTTTGTTCAATATTCGTATAATGTCATAGATACAATACAAATATAAATAATGAAAAAAAAATAATAATTAATAAAGAGAAAGTTAGGTACCTGATCTGTTGGGTGAAGGGGGGATATGCTTCCCTACAGGAAACAAGTTTTCTTACCCTTTTCCCTCGACCACGAGTTGCTTCCTCTTCACTCTGGCACTTCTCCGATCTAAACATCCAGAATAATCACAGTAATGACTACATTCAAACAATAGCAATGTACTTCCATTTATTTCTTCTTTGCAGCATTGTAATTTTAATATATAATCTCTCTAACTTAAAAAATAAAATAAAATAAAATAAAATAAAACTCCTCTGTATTCGGATTAGGATGACATTGTTGTAATTGGGTAGAATATTCTAAAATACAATGCCTTTGCCTTAATAAGAAGAAATTAAATGTAGGATGCTATAATATAATAAACAAACAGCATAACTGACTAGAAGCTTGTCCCATTCATTTTCATCAGTGGTAATATTGTTATCCTCTTTCTTTTATAAACAAACGACATTGATAGACCCTTGTTGAATCTATCATAACCTCCAGGCATTTTAACCCTTGATCTAACATAATTACGTGATGATATTAAGATAATTCCCAGCTTTCGAGATGTGGGTATCTCCAAGAAAGAACAAAGTTCAATTCATAATAATTCTTAGCTACAAACTCTCTAAAACAAAAGGACTATATATACTACCACTAGAAACAAACCAAAAGGGAATAACAACCAACATAATCAGGTGTTGTTCCCACTAACAAAATAGCCAATAATAGCCATAATACCAAAAAAGACCATTCAACCCCTGGCCAAAAAGATAACAGAAATTTGGGGGCTTATCAGACATACTTACGACTAGTTACTTTACACCAAAATGTATGAAAATTCAGAATTTTTTTTTCAATTATTTTTTAGATCTTCGTGAGGATAAACATTATTTAGCAGATCATCCTGGACTAGTCCCGATAACAACCGCACAAATACATTTTCTGACGCTTATATTTGCAAATTAACATTGAAATTATAAAATATATTAAATATGGTTATCTAGAAGGGTTTATTATACTTTTGGCTTATAGCGACACATTAAGTTTTAACACCCTAAGACTAAAGTTAGAAACTAGCCCAATAACCTTTGAATCAACTTCTAACCTCAATCTGTTCTTTATACTTGAAGTCAAAGATAAGAATGTTTGACTTCAAAAGTCAAAAAGGAAAAAGTAATGTATAATAAATAAGTATAAAACAATCTCTCCACACATTATACCTTGTTGCAATCTCTGAGTAAACATCAGAAGGTTTCTCCCCAGCAACTAAGTTAACTGTAGCAACTTCCAACTGTAAAATTACATGAAAAATGGAAAAGAAAATATTTAGATCCAAAAAAATCTATAAAAACAACAAAACGAAAAACTATTAAGTGGAAAATCGGAACATACAGTGTCTCTTCTCAATGCAGCATAGTGTTGGAGGCCATTGCATGAACCATCCTATAATAAAAACAACAATTATCAATTACATCGAATGTAGCTCAAAAATGCAACAGGTATGAAAATTTTCATTAAATTTCATTATTTTTACAATTATCTTTTTTTTAATCAATTTTGTTTCTTGACAAAAAAAATGTAAAATCTGTTTTTGATGTTGTGATAAGAGTGGTGATCAAACCACATCAACCACCAAAAGAGAAGAAATAGACATGACCTGGATGTTTTGTGTTAGTGTCTTCCACTTTTTACAACCTACCAAAAAATAATGCAGTGTCAAAAGAAAAAATAATAATAATAAAAATAAAAACACAATGTCTTTTGTGCCATTTGCCTCTGTTTTGAACCTCACTCTATGACCATAATTTGAGCTAACTAGTACTGGGTTTTATTGGGAGTGCAGGAACATGTTTTGCAATAAGAAACTTACTTGCCTGGGGTAAGACGCGTTAAAGATTCATTCATATTGTAATTTAATGTTCAAATCGGTTGTCATTATTATCATATAGGATGCAAACAGAGAAGTATATTTTCTGGATATATATCATATATCCATTTCTTTTTTTATGTGTGTTTTAACTATAACCATTTGGTAAAAAATCTCAGCACTGAGTAGGTACTTATAGTTCGGTTCTTAGATAATATATTGTTGTTTCAATAGAGAAAACCATAAGGTAAGGGACAAAAGGGTGTCCTGAATTTATCGCTGATAAAAAATTATGTTTCTTGATAAAAACCAAAAATGATTAACTAAGTGGAGTATTTACAATCAAAACATAAGAGTTAAACAAACAACATACCTGAGTCAGGTAGTGCTGCCATCAATAATTGCTGAAGGTGATTCAATTCCTCTTGTTCTTCTGTTGGTTCATCATTCCAATCCAGAGACTAATTGGAAATACAATCAAAACATAAGAATTAAACATATATATGATTTACCAAATAACTGCAACTATAATATTTGTTCCTAAATCTAAAGAGTTGATACTCGCAACAAGTAGAGCATTTTCAACCGGAAAGCAAATAATTACAAACCGTAAACAGGTCTTGAGTAGGGAATTTTGTTACTTATCTGCCTTTAGTTCTTCTTTAATTTCTGCATCACTGTCACCCTGCATTATTTCAAACCAACAATTACGTATGAATGTATGAAAGATTGATAAAAAAAAAAAATTACAAAAAATAGAAATAGTAAATATTGAAGTAAAACAATCACCTGCATATCTGAAGTCCACAAGGTGAGGTTATCATGAAGAAGTTGCATGATTAGGGTGTTGTCCTTGTAGGTATCTTCTCCTAAGGTATCGAATTCTGTGACAACTTCATCAAAAGCTAGTTGCTCATATTTCTCAAGGGATGCAAGGGCCATCTTCCTCAGGGCTAGGTATCTTCTCCTAAGGTATCGAATTCTGTGACAACTTCATCAAAAGCTAGGTATCTTCTCCTAAGGTATCGAATTCTGTGACAACATCTCACACATCCATGGTAGTAGTTACGCCCATAGTACCATCTTCCTCAGGGCTACCAATTTTACTGCTATCGTGATAGAACTTATGAGCTAGCCTAGGTGACCGATGCAGTATACGATAGTACTGCTGAACAAAAGCATTCCCAACCTGTTTATTAGCAATCAAAGAAACATTGCCGGTTGTGTGTGTGTGTGTGTGTATATATATATATATATATATATATATATATATATAGAGAGAGAGAGAGAGAGAGAGCGAGAGAGACTTACCTAAAGTCGCAGGAGAAGAAGTGTTTGTGCAATCATAGTAGTTTGAGGGTTTCCTTCGGTTACTCCCTTCACATCTCCGAGAATCTTCATCTCTGGAGGAGAGAGATGAGAGAAAACCTGATGGAAGGGGGGGAGACGAGAAGGCGGATGCATCGATTAGGAAGAAAACAAACTCAGAGAGTGGAGTGAAGTCATATTTAGGAGAAGTTGTACCAATTTTAGGGATAAATCGAACCAGTTTGTCTTCTTCGTTGATCTTCTTTGCCGCAATTACTGGATCGTGAGTAGAGAGAAAGGGTAGGGTTTAGGGTGATTTAAGGAATCGTAGTTAAATTCGAACCAGTTGGTCTTCTTCATTGATCTTCTTTGCCGCAATTACTGGATCGTGAATAGAGAGAAAGGGTCGGGTTTAGGGTGATTTAAGGAATCGTAGTTAAATTTGTGGATAACCGACGAGGTGAGGTGAGACAGAGGTTACTGGTGAGGCTGATAGTGTTTTGTGTGTTCTACAAAAAAAATCCCTACAATGAATACTCCCTGCAATTTTCTTGAAGAAGGATTGACAACCAATTCTATTAGGGTTCTTAAACCATGATTTTAGAAGGAGAAGGAGGAGACGCAACAGGCGGGGTTTTAACTTTTTTGGGATTTCATTTCCCCCCTATCTACTAAAAGCGCGTTCATTAAAATTATAAAGCGACACTTATAGAGGGCGCGCATTTAACATACAACGCCCTCCGTGTTTTTATTTTTTTTCCTTACGACACTAGTTTAAGGGCACGTAATAATGAGTGACCTAAATCCTTAATTTTTTGAAGAGATGACACTTTTTTAATGTCACTCTCTTTTGCGTAACATAAATTAATGAGTGTCGTGGTTTGCACGTCGTAAAAGGGTCTTTTTTTCTTGTAGTGTTGTCAAATATTTAATTTTTACAATACGCTGAGTCGTGCCGGTTTTGTTGTAAAACTTCAACGGGTCATAACTTTTTCGGTATAAGTCAGATTTCAACGTTATTTATATGTGCATAATCCTTGTGACATATATTATACTTAGGTTAAGACTATTTATTCTAAATAATATTCTATCAAAAAGTCATTTTTAATACTAATTATCTATAAATTGACTAATCCAAATTTGCGGATGTTATAGATTATCTGCGAAACAGATAAAGTTATGGCTAAAAGCTTTGAATAAAGGTTTTGACATCATCAGAATGAGGGAGATTATAAGGTCGAACCTTATAATCTGAAGAGTGTTTTCACGTTCATCAATGGGTAATGTCATACACTTTATAGGCTCATCAATGCTAGCGTGAAGTTTCCTTCCGCACGAAGTATCAGTTGTGTGTTATACTAGGGTTCATACATTGTAATGTGGCTTTTGTGCATTCTCTCTTTGTGAGTGTTTTATTAGGAATCGTAATCGAAATAACTTTTCAATTAAGATTTTGTGAAACATTTTCTTTTGTTATGCTTGTTATTCGTCCTTAAGATCCAACAAATATATTTCGAACTCACATCCAGACATATGATTCATGATTTCGGACAAGGAAAAAGCTATTCCTAAACTTTAGAAACAATTATGAAATCCGATTAATAACTCCTGAATTACAAGAAAATGTGTTGTTTCTAATTGAAATCTTAAAAAAAGTTTAAAAATACTAAACCTTCACATATGACATTTGATTGAAAATAAGTTTTATTAAATATTTCCAAGTGACTATTTCAAAAGATGACAAAAAAGAGAACCATAAAAAATTATTTAAGGGATATATACACTAAAGTCTCAATATTTTTATCGAATTGACAAGATAATCTTATATTTTTTTTTACAGTAAAATCCAAATTACTGGTAGTTTTTGATACTTTTACCCTTTTTTCCGGTTAGCCGGTAATTAGGGTTTTTTTTGTAAAAAAAGAAAAAAGTTTATCACTTTCTTGTCAAATCGTTGAAAATATTAGGACTCTTTAGTGTGTGTGTATATATATATATATATATATATATATATATATATATATATATATATATATATATATATATATCCCTCTTTTGGTTAGAAATTTAATAGTATGATGCTCTTTAAGCATAAGAGTAATTGAAACATTCTCTAGTCAGCTAGATTCTATTGAAATCCCTAACGTTTGCTTCTTGTTAAATCTTTTTTTTTTAATCTCAACAAACCTACATTGAAAAAAATAAAGATAATAAAAAAAGAAGGAAAGAAAGAAAGAAACAATGTTGCGTTGGCTTTTTGCAGTCCTAAAAATGGATAAATAAGAAACTAAAAAAAAACGAAATTGTCTTTTTTTCCCTTCTCCATATTCACATCTTTTTTACTAGGCATGTATTGTATGTGTTTGTATAATATGTCCCCACTTTTTAGTTCAAGATTTGGTGGCAAGAAGAAAGTTTTACAAGTCTTTTCACACTTTTTCGCTCTCTCTTTTGCATATGTTTCTCCTCATCGTGATTGTATTAGGGTAAAGATGATGATAGTAAGAAAAACAGTAGTGTTGCAATAAAAGTCACCATTCAAAGTTTTTGGGTTACGAAAATACACTAAAGTCCCAATATTTTTAACGATTGGACAACAAATGCCCTAAAATTTATTTATTTTAATAGTAAAGTCCTAAACTTTATTTTTTTGACAAAAAAATCCTACTTACAAGCTAACCGGAGAAAAATAGTAAAAGTATCAAAAACTGCCGATAATTTGGATTTTACTGTCAAAAAAATAAAGTTTAGGACTTTTTGTTAAATTGATAAAAATATTGAGAATTTAGTGTATATATCCCATTATCTAAAGCAAACTAGAAGAAAAGAAAAACAAACAAATTTAATTCGTCCGAAATTTTTCATTCTAAATTTAGATGTCATTTCAGTTAACATATCTTAACAAAAACTTAATCAAAAATATAGTTACTTTAGATAAACAAAGATATTTTCATTTTTGTTAAGATACCTTTTTTGAAACATTTTAATATAAACTTTAGCTGTGGGGTACAAAAAATTATAAAATAATTCAAAACAAAAACACTGTTACTCCTGAACATTGTTACACTTAAGATATTACAAATACTCTAAAGATTTATCTCATATGATAGGATTTGAAACGAGTTAGAGGTAGGTCATCAAAATAGTATAATTAGACTATTTTTATGTAGATAATGTGAAAACATTGTTATGATTCTGTTTTACAGAAATGGAATATTAATGATTAAAACAGAAGTCCAATATATAAGGGAAATACTAAATGCCCACCCCAAAAACATGAAAAGGAGCATTCAGGTAGGCACATCTTGAAATAAGTAAAAGGATAATGCTTGGGCATGGGTTCCCTTATTTCTGCCATTTATCACTCCCATTTTTTTATTATTATTATTATTATTATTATTATTATTATTATTATACGTGTGTACGAGAGAGAGGTAGGTGTGTGTATAAAAATAGAGAGAACTAAAAAAAAGAGGAGAATTTCCTTGCATTTCTATATATAATATATCCTTTTAAATACATATTGGATCTAAATTATATATATATATATATATATATATATATATATATATATATATATATATATATATATATATATATATATATATATATATATATATATATATATGTATGTATGTGTGTAGAGAGACGAATGGCTTCATTGCATTCCCATTATATATGATATATCCTTTTAAATGTCTTTCAAGAATAGATCTAAATAATACAAATTTACATAAGAGGACTTCGAATCCAGCGGTATCCGATGTTGTCTTCTCCCCTTGTGGTCGAGGATTTAAGTCTCGTGAGGAACTTAGATGGAGAATTAGGAGTAGTGTAGGAATAAAATATATTTGTTGTTCCAAAAAAAAAAATACAAATTACATAACCTACTCTAAGTTTAATAATTATATAATAAATTTTTAAAAGAAGAAGTCGTGATTGTCGTTCTCTCATTTTAATAACTTGAGGAATAGCCAAAGTATTTAATTATATGCATCTCGGTGTTTGGCAGGATGCTTGCCATATTACTGGTCAGTAGCTACCAATTATAAATTTTCTTAATAAATTGTTTTTTATGAGTAAAACT